ACACACCACACAACACACCACACAACACACCACACAACACACCACACAACACCTTCACAACACACCACACAACACACCACACAACACCTTCACAACACACCACACAACACCTTCACAACACACCACACAACACCCTCACAACACACCACACAACACCCTCACAACACACCACACAACACCCTCACAACACACCACACAACACCCTCACAACACACCACACAACACCCTCACAACACACCACACAACACACCACACAACACACCACACAACACCTTCACAACACACCACACAACACACCACACAACACCTTCACAACACACCACACAACACCCTCACAACACACCACACAACACCCTCACAACACACCACACAACACCCTCACAACACACCACACAACACACCACACAACACCTTCACAACACACCACACAACACACCACACAACACCCTCACAACACACCACACAACACACCACACAACACACCACACAACACCTTCACAACACACCACCCATCACCCTCACAACAACACACACACACACCCCACACAACACCCCACACAACACCCACACAACACACCCTCACAACACACCACACACACAACACACCCACACAACACAACCACACAACACCCTCACAACACACCACACAACACACCACACAACACACCACACCACACAACACCCTCACAACACACCACACAACACCCTCACAACACACCACACAACACCCCTCACAACACACCACACAACACCCTCACAACACACCACACAACACCTTCACAACACACCACACAACACCCTCACAACACACACACACAACACCCTCACAACACACCACACAACACCCTCACAACACACCACCCATCACCCTCACAACACACCACACAACTCACCACACAACACCCTCACAACACACCACAACACCCTCACAACACACCACACAACTCACCACACAACACCCTCACAACACACCACACAACACCCTCACAACACACCACACAACACCCTCACAACACACCACACAACACCCTCACAACACACCACCCATCACCCTCACAACACACCACACAACTCACCACACAACACCCTCACAACACACCACACAACACACCACACAACACACCACACAACACCCCTCACAACACACCACACAACACCCCTCACAAC